TATAGATAGCTAACAGATATCTTTTTCTAGTAGTTCTTTAACACACTATTGCATTCCCACCTCTCATCCTGCTTGTAAAAGGTACTTGAAAGAAGAGATGAGATAAATGTAGGCTCAGCCACACAGTCCTGTAGAAGCAAATACAGCTAACAACATATTAGAGTCAAGTCTAATGTCATTATAAGAGATCACGTTAACTAATGCTCCAGTACCGTTGGCCTGAACCTGCCTTATCCCTTACTAACTTGTTAAAACACACGATACATGAGGCATTGAAGGAGGCCATCAAAATTATGTTTTGTTATCAGCTAACCACTTCACAAAATAATCACTCCTGCAAAACGCAGAGAAGCCTGAACTAATTTCCAGGGCTCTAAAAACTCCCTAATCCTGAAGACATTCAAATCGAGATTTAGAGCTAAGCTTTCTACCTCTGCAACGTAAGTATTCCTATATTAATTAGAAACACGGGCTTTTCTACGTGTGGATGCCACCTTTGGGTCTCACCGACCTTTCCATCGCATTGCGTCTGACCCAAGTCACACAGCCCTCTTGACTGTGGTGGGCTCTGGCAAGGTCACCCATCCTTTCAAGCCTCGCTCTAATGATACCACCAACAGCAAAACATCTTCTCAGGGCTTTCAATTACACAGCACACACAAAAACATATCCATGCTTGCTGGTCCTTTCTGTAGATTGAGCCGTGCGAGTTCACAGCCCAGCAGGTCCTTGCTGTACCACACATTTAAACACACCGAGCAGGGATGAGGTCGGCTAGCTGGGAACGTACTCTAAACCATGGGGCTATCCAAGGGATGTCTGGGGATGGCTGCAGTGGTTCTCTTTCTAGGTATGATGGTCCAATTTCTTTTCTAGGACTCTTTCAATCTTGTATAGTGTGAGCACACAGAAGCTGGAGGCTGCTAGTAAGACACCCATTCTTGTTAGCCACGTGCAAGAAAGTGCTTTAGTTCGCTTTGGGATTTTGTTTTGGGTATAAACTCAGATGCTACCCTCACTCAGTGAATTTTCATAGCCTTGTGGAAATTTTACCTACAAATCACCTAAGGAGTTTAGCTCTCTGAATGTTTAAGAGCTTGCTTAGAGAGATGCAGTGGGAGAACCAACTTTCCATACAGCTCACAGCGTATCCTAGGGAATATAAATCACCCAGGGAAACAGATTCAAATGCATCCCTGAATTTGACTGTACTGCCTGTTTTTCTCTCAGCAAGACTGCAGCTTCTTCAGCTGCCAACATCAATGTCCACACAGATGCATGTCTGCTCCTTAAAGGATGAGTGACCTGTCTTAAAATTATGTTAGCTACCATGTGGTTTAGTGATTTCTGTCTGGGATTACTGTAAACTTGAGAAATCTGTGAAAATTAAGAAAATTTTAGAAGATGAGATAAATTTTCATCATGAATACACTAGGACAACTTCTGAATTACAAGTCCTGTTATACAGGGGATGAGGGGGGAATCACATGTGGCATTTCACTTTCTAACTTTCTCCATGTATTTGTTCTAAAAGACCAGAGGAAGGGCTTAATGAGAGGTATAGTTAAGATTTTGCTATTCAGACATATGGTGGACCTCATAAATGCAGAGCTTTGGTATGCAAGACGTCTGCCTATTCAAGTAGTTTATTATTTTACTAGTGCTCATATTTCAGCTTTGCAATTAGCCTGAACATCTGGCCCAATAAAATAGTAATTAAATGTATGAGACTGGCAGGTCAAATACAGTTCCATACGTCCTCTTCCACCAACAGAGAACAGCTAGGAGTGTTTAAGGAAGTATTTATTACAGGATATGAGAAGATACTTTTCCTAGATGTTCTCATTTTATCTTTGAGAGCTTAAAAATAAGTTTTGGTGAATACAGAAAACACTTACTGCGTATGGTTGGATTCGATAAGCTGGCTGGGAGGCGAGGAGGGTGTTAAATAGAGGCAATTCCACTGCACTGCCCTGTACGCATAGATATCCTTTTTATGAGCTTCCACTAAAGCAATTTTATTTCAGTGCGTGGATTCAACTACTTTTTTAAATTTACATTTTTTTCCTTTCAATAAATTTAGAAAGGCTTTGTTATGCTCTAATGCACCCCAAATACAAGAAGCTAAAATTGACAATTGCTGTACTCTCAAAACAGCACTTTAGCTACAAATATTTTATTAGACAATAGCTGATCTTGTTCCCTATTTACTTCTCCTCTGAGTCACACCTTGCTATTCCAGAGAAACATCTGCGTTCCTGCTCTGAAGATCTGAAGAGCTGTGTGTGGAAGACAGCCCCTCCCACAGACAGTGTAAGATGAAGACCATAGTCTGAGACTGCACCTATGGACTTCAGTACTGACAAGATCTCTCCCTTGTTAACCCAAGCCATGTTTGAAACACACCTTAGAAAACAAATACTCAGGCCAGAGACAAGCACGTCCCACGTTCACCAGAGCAGCCTGCCGGCATGCCCCTAAAAATAAGCGTATTTGAAGCCATCATAGGCTGGAAATCCAGATGCCAGAATTAACACACTACGATGACTATGCAGATACAAATCATCATCGAAATAAAAACTAGGATGTTTTTCTATGATGTACTGATAAGCACAAGGTCCCTCTCAGCGCAGAGTGGCTGGCACGCTTCTTAAGAAGGCAGCGTTTAGGTCGGTGTAACAACTATACTGTCCAGGACATGGTGTCTATACCATGCCCTCGCTGACCCTTGGAGCACACACTCACTTTCCCCCAAAATGAAGCCGGTTGCAGCAGCCCCATGACGTGCATGCAGCAAGCGTGGGCAGCGGGGGCAATCAAGAGTTGCATCTCAAAAGCACGACCCTCATGGGAAGAGATGGGCACCCCCTGCAATGCTCAGAGAAGGCAACGCTTTGCCTGAACTGTTGAACGGTGAGGCAAGAACAAGGTCTGTGTGGGGTGAAAGCAAATGTGGTCATGGTTACAGGTGAGCAGAACCAATTATCACCCCGTTTTAAGCGCTGGAGGGATTATTCATGTGCATCCACCAGAGGCTGGGAACAGCAGGTAAGGAAACTCTCCTCACACCTACTTCTTTTCTAAGTTAAAAACCACCGTCAGTTTGCTCTGCGATGCCCCATATCACTTTCTCAGCACATCAGAATTAGGTTAGGCGTCTTTCTTAAGCTCTCCGATGAGCACTAATTTTTCCTGATGGCACCCCAATAGATCACTAATACACAGACACACCACACGCGTCCCAAGGACAACCTTGAAAGAGCAAGAAAAGGAGAGGAGCAAAGCACGGCCAGTGCAGGAGGGTGTCCCAGCACAGGGACGTTCCAGCCCCAGCGGCCACCCAGCACCGCTCAGGGGCTGCTCATGGCCTCAGCAGACCGGGAATGGGCCACCACGTCTGTCCCCGTCCCACGCGTGCCCTGGAGCAGCGAAAGGAAGGAGGGATTAGTTTGGGCCTCTTGCTACAGCCTGTCACCTCCCAAGTGCTTTTGAGCCGCACGATTATTCCTGTGAAGCCAGAGCCTGTTTATTTGGTTTTAGGGTTTTGCAGCTTGGCCCACACCCTAGCATCTGAAAAGGTTTACCAGCAATTCCACCTCCGCCTTTTTCCTGCTCTTTTGAATGCAATTGTGATGAGTATTGCACCGAAAATGTGGTCTCTATTTCAAAAGGATCAATATAATCTGCTCCCAAGTCCCTGAGCTTTCTCTTCATACTTAACTAGGGAACAAATGACTGCAATGAAAAGAAAGGATCTGGTGATCTGCCAGTATATGCTGCAACTAGAACAGCAATATAAAGCCATAAAACCACAAAGGTTTATACAGCGCACAATGTAAACGATTTGCTACAAACCAAACACAGCTCTGTAAGGATCTGCCTAAATAATAATCTGATCATTGTTTGATACCTTTGTATCAAATGATTAGTTCAAGAAGGCGAATTTATTTAGAATAGCAAATCAATATTTTTCTGTATAGTTTCTGCTGATCCTGCATCTTTACCCATCCTGGGACTCCCCTGAGTAACACAGCAGCTTAAGCTTCATGTTATTACTGCACTAACCTTTCAGCTGTCTGTTATAATCTATTTATTTTGTTTACAATGGCTGGGACTGAACTGGGTTGGAAAAGAAAGATGTGGACAGCCAGTGAAGTTCAGCCAAAGTGGATGTGAACAGGGTTTAAAAAACGGGGGGGGGG